ACATAAATTGTTGGCAGGTTTAAATGCCATCCTAATTCCTGATTTATTAAGAAGTCTACGAAGGATTTCAGAAGTCTCTTTCTTATGTGGTAAAACTGTATGTCATCGTCAACATTGGCACTACTGCTTTTCCTTTTCTTCTTAGCTCTTGTTATCTTCTTAATGCATTTTATAGGATAGTTATTATAGTGCCAACGCTTCTTCTGTCTGTTTCATTGCATCACATAGGTATTCTGAAATGCTACTTAGAGTTACTGCCTGGTTCGTTGCACACTTTAATGAGCCTGACTTTATAGATAATGGGTGAGGTGAATTAAAGTCTAAATATTTTTCCAGAGCGCCTTGACTTTTTGTAAACGCTAGTGAATAATTTACCATCTGTTCTTTATTTACGTTATTTTACAATTTAACATTGCTAATTCCCCTCATCCATTTTCTGATTAAAATACAAACTTTATTCCATCTACTAATCAGTTTATTTTTATGAAGAAACTAAAGATATGTTTTATTTTTAAGACCACGAAATTTTTATCCATATATCTTTATCATATTATTGGGATAGGATTAAATGTCTTAAGAGCCATATTTGTCGAACCACCCATAAAAATATATGCTACGAATGGGGATATTGGTGATCCCATTGCTACTTTCTTTCTGAAACTTACTAAAGAAGGTTCCAGTTTTGTCATAATCAATTTTTTAACATAATGCCTTGGTACAAAGAGCTATGGATGACATTTTTTCTAGACTTTGAGTTCCACTGGATTCCTATGAGGTTTTATCGATGCTGTATGATTCTCATTCTTACAGCACAGCTGATTTCACAAGATGTTTATCCTGTGCATAATGGCATGCAGACTTTACAGGTAATTTCAGTCACATGGAAGCCAACATAAGTTAGAGAACTGTTAAAAAATAATGAAGCATTGATCTTATACTGAATCCTATTCTGGGGCTCTTCAACAATGCGCATCCACGATCCCAGCCGGTGTTATCAGATCTCAAAAACAGTACGTTTACAATTTCGTAAATGAAAACTCCGATTTCTGTCATTTCGAGATTTACAGCCATCGGTTTGCAGTATCATCAGCCATTAATGTCTTCAAGCTCAATATGGTGGACTCGAATTCTCAGTTATCATTGGAACTCCAGAAATTCCTTCTGGCATCAATTCACGAATCTGCAGAATGCTAAGTGGTAATACTTCTTCATGAAATCTATCCTGAAATCAATGAAACTTCAACGAATTCAGCAAGTGAAAATTTCTCTTCTAGTTCTATGACTAAACTATAAGCTTATAGTAGATGAATAGCGTAGTTACTATGTTGACCTTTATCAGTGACTGAACACTTTATATATATTTTATTGAAAACCTATAATTATGCTAATAACCTGTTTGAATGAAAAATTATTCTGCCTAGAAATAGTATGTCTTCACGAATAAATTCAAGTGTTAAGCGAATATAAATTTCTCTCTCATTGAAATTCATCTATGTAATATATGTATATAAAAATGCTCTGATTGATTTGTCATTAGAACGCATCTCAGTCATGTGTAATCTTACACCACGCGAAATGGGAGTTTAATTCAATGAGCATTTCAACAACACTTAATAGGATTAGTTTACCAATGGTTAGTGTTTTTTAATTCTAATCTACATTGGAGTATCAATTATCCGTAGACTGAAATACTGTCAAGTTCTTTACTTCAAGTAGGGAATAAGTCAAGTGTTCGACTCCCTACCTCTTCATTAATACAATACTATAAATATGAAGAATCAGGTAGTTGGCTTCTGAAAATAAATGAATTTTTTTCTTTCAAGTTCCCTAGAAATGTTCATTTATGATATTATACTTATGTCCTATTACCCTATAGCTTTATCTTGAATAAATTCCATAGTTCAAGTTAGCAATACGATTGAAATTCTCCATATTATCATCCAGTAATGTTTACATGTAGTACCATTTGTTATTCTCATCAGATTTCAGGGTAGTTACCAACAACAAGACTCAGCCGTTCAAATTTTGACATACTATAAGCGGACAGTGGGTAAGATGATAAAATAAAGAGTTCATCTCAGCTTACAACTATTTTTTTACATTTGCATAGATTATATTGTCCTGTGCAATAATTTTATTATTATTGGTTTCACGCACTCATGGAGCAGAAGGATTCAAATGCACATCCCCATCGGACTCGGTTCTTTTACACAACTTTAAAACGGATCCTCAACGACGCACAAGATTTCATTTCGTCTTAACATGGTCTCTTCCATGTTATCCACTGACGCCTACCTCGTCGCCAGCCATCCAGGCTCCACTCGAGGGCCTTTGATGTCACTCAGCGGTCTCTTCATGATGCATGGAGTCAGTCTCCATTTTCTATTGAATATTTGTTGGGCATTAGGTTGTTGGATGATTCTCTGTCATAATTCCAATGTACCTATTCTTATCAGCCATCCTATCTTCTTATTAAACCAACCAAGGCGGTTGTTGGTTGATGAATGGATGTTATTGGAAATGCTCTTTGTGACACGCTTCAACTCTCTGAATCATATCGAAGCACTGACATCTTATATGTGCTCATCGTTCTGAGTGCGGATCTCAGAGCCGTGAACGCCTCAGTTCTTTCCTCAGCTGCCGTTGGCTTTGATCTCCACATATGTGCCATCACCTATAGTTGAAACAACAATGCTCAGGTCAAGTTGGTGAGAGAGGATTTCGCTTAGATTTGTTTGTGGTTTTTAGTCAAGCATCTTCATCTTCTCTGCCCTCTCGATCTCTGCTTAAACTTCCGTCTTTACTGTCACTTCTACCAGATTATGGTTTTCGTTTGCATATCTTTGAGTTGGTTAGATATGAGACATAAACCATCTGCCAAATCAAGATTTTGCAATGTTTGTTCGATGCATGCCTATCTTTTTACTCCTCACAGTTTGTGACAAAGTCACTGAGATCACTGGTTGTAGCAGACAGCCTTGTCTTACTGCTGTCGTCAGATGAAACACCTCTATGAGCTTCCGCTGTGAAATGAATTGCATGCGGCATCATAATGTACCGTAATGGATGAATATTTACCATACTGCGCTCTTTACTAGTGAAGTACCCTTCCGAAAACTTCGTATTTGACGCTGTCAACGGTTTCTCCAAAGTTGGTTGAAAGCTCAATCAAAACATTTTTAATGTCATTTATTGTTAATTCTTCTCTGAAAGGAATTTCGATGAATATTTTGTGTGTTGTTGATCATAGTTTTCGATAGGAAGAATATATTACCACATTATATTTCCACTACTCACCTTTCAAAAATACCTGGAAAAGGTATTCAGTTTCAATGTAGAACTGTATGATTGCGTTTAAAGAAGAAAATAATGTTTGGAACAAAAACACCTTATTATTTTTGCCAGACATTATGATACGACTGCAAACCTTGGATGGTGAAATCCAGACTGAATCAGTCCTAAGAATTAGACACACGGAATCGGTTACTGCCTACAGGAGGCCATTCCTGGGTCTCAATAGCTCATCGGTAACTTCAAAACTGAGCGAAAGAGTTCCTAGTCTCCAAAGAGACATTAGTTCCTTAAAGATTGCTGGTACACTCTGGTGACGAGTCCTGAAAAGTTTTGTATTTACTTCCAGGGTTTCTGGCTGGCTGTCTCCAACCCCCTAAACTCAGGTAGCTGGAGTACCTACTACTTAACAGATTTGCCTGTCAATCTGTATGTATATTAATACTCATCGAGATTACATGCAACTATAAATAAAGCGGTGTGCTTATTCACAATAATTTTGCTTATTTTATAGCTCTTCTTGTTTACATCATTCTAATTTTATGTAGTAAAGTTTTCTTGTGAAACAAAATAACCAAGTAATAACACTCAAGTTTAGATAATTAAAGAAGTATTCATCCAAGTAACCATAACAGGAAACTTTTTATGAAGAGGGGAAAAATGTAAATGACGGAATAACATTAATCAGGTTATTAGCATATTTTCCACATTACAAATATGATTTGATGCATTACAGAAGTAATAATTACAAATGACTGATGTTTACTTAATTCTTCTTTCAGAAATACTTCTAATAAGTTTTGCATTAATTTGTAATGAATGCATAAAAGTGGAAACAAAACAACTAGATTCAAGTACAACTGACTTAAACATTTGAATCAAATCTTATTTAGTATTGATTGAAATTGAAACTTAACTGTTATCTGAATCTTTTGTCTGGAAACAAAATGTGACCTAGATATGCAACGTACATGCTGACAAGCTGTAGACAAGAATGCATATGATCGAGTTGATAAAACGCTATATAGGCAAACTCAGAGGCTGCTACCTTGTATTCACTGGCATAATTAACATTTTACTCACAAAACTGAAGGATATCATATAATGAGCTTACTTACTTTCAATCTGTTGACGCTGTAGCTTTCGCAAACCTGGGTGGTTGAATGCAGCGCTAGGATAATTGTTTAGTGAGGTAATAGAAGTTTCACAATTCAGTCATTCAGCTGATAGAATGAAACAATAATAAAAATATCTACTTCAGCGAAAAGACCTCTCTATTATTTCAATTTCTGAGCTTATTTTACAGACTGAATAATTAAACAAAAGATAAAATGAGAAATCACGAAGTCTACATATATGTCTAACTGTCTTCGTCCAGTATAGTTGTATATACGTTAATAGGGCACTTATCAACTCATATCCAGATAAAAAGGTGATATCATAATGCTAATATATCTAGTCGGCAAAATCGATGTCGTATGTTTAGCCTTTAGTGAAACACCAATACCTCAGGAATTGCAGACATACCTTGTAGGTGATTGCAAATAAGCACGAAATACAGGTTCAAGTTTACTTGCAGAAAATCTTCAATAATCTAACACCAATATCTAGCATGTTTTAATTTATGAGGGAAAAAAGAAAAGCATTAACTATGTTAAGGGTAAAGGGAATTATTTTTTTTGAAAAAAACAAAACAAAAAACAACTAACCTGTAAACAGTATAGTATTCAATACTTCATAAGAAATATTTGCTAAAAGTTGACGCCAAAATACCGATTCTATATGATTCATTGTAGAATGTATTGGATAGTTTACTGTATTTTCAGTTGACTGTAAAGTATTCTGTCTAGAGTAATCAGTTGAAAACACCTCATCATCTGGTAGGCTTAGCTTTTTGCCCTTGAATGTTTATTCATCATTAGTATATCATTGTCCACATCAGAATCACCTGACATGCTTAAATCACTAGTTTCTGATTTCTTCTGGGGATATCTTGAATTCAATGTCAGTAGGTTTTGTTGTTGTTGTTGATGGTGGGGGTGGTGGTGGGGATGTTGATGATGATTAGATGGAGGAGGATTAGAATAATGATATTGCTGATTATATAATTCTTCCTGTGTCATTCCATTTTGCATTTTACTACTCATACCTGACTGTAATGATGAAGAGTTTATGGATAGATTTTCAGCATCATTTTGCAGTGGTGATAATGGTGAACCACCGGTTGGATAGAAGGCTACATCAAAGCACAAAACTAATTGGTTCAACCATCTGGATAGTTCTATTCTACTGCTATTACCACTGGTCCATTCTGTTGGTGATGTAAGACGTATTTCATCCGATTGAGAACGCACTGGTGAATTGTTCAAGGAGCCTTGATATAAAGCAGGTATGTATGGTGAGATAGACTGTAAAAAGAAAATAACAAAACCAAGTAAATAAACATGTATATGTATGAATTTGGTGTAATCAGATGGAAATAAAGTAATATGAAAAATGGATGAAATATCTTGCAATACCAATATATTTCCAAATCTTTGTTTCAATCCTGTCTTTCAAACACTCAAGTTTAATTCTTTTCTCCATCAACTTTTCTGTATCACTTATGTCTTAATTATGGTACTTACTATTCGCAACTACTGATAGAAAGTAGTTTTTTTCTGAAACGTTGATGAACTAAATTACAATAGACAAGGGTAACTGAAAACACATTTCAGCAGTGTATAAATTTTTGCAAAAAATTCAATGAATGAAGACAGTCTGAAAATAGTTTTTACAAGTTGATCACGGATTGATATCAGTTAGAGAACCATTGAAAACCAGGGAGTACTGGACAGTTGTTCCATCCTGATTTGCGAATCATTGGCAGTACGCATCTACTGGGATTCGAACCCAGGACCTTCCGTTTACAAGACAGGCTCGTAAACCATTCACCCACTGGGGCCCGCTTCAATGGCTCATGAATTCTAACTTCTACCAATTTGTGATTTAGCGCGACCACAACCGTTGTCGTTGGTGGGACATCTATCCTCACACATAACATCTAATTGAACCTCTCTGGTCACGACTTCTCCAGGAAACTTCGTCCTGAGGCAAGTCAAAAGCGACCATCAGAATTATTTTCTATAGTTTGGTCTGTAAGGGTTAGATATGTTTTTACGATTTGATCACGGATTGATTACTTCATATTATAGTTCATTATTGAATATACCTTTCAAATAACGAAGCTGATAAGATAGAATAGCGGACAAATCTACTTCTGTGCGAGAAATTTTGTAACTAAATTCATGGTGAAAATAATAATTCCGTTTCAAGTAGATAATGCATAATTGTATGAAATTCGTTTACTGATAAAAATCATATTTCAAACCATCCCGATGTACACTAACGGTAATTTTCATTCATCCTACGTTATAGGACAAATTCAAAGTAACCTGTTATGCAGGTATGAATCGTATTCAACAAATGCCTAAAAATCTGATATATGTCATTGACTACGTTTACCAGACGACACAATCAACTGATTTCTCTAGTTAATTTGATAGGCGAGAGTCACATTACATAAAATGTGAAGAACAGATAATCACTATGTATTAAATCTTCAGTTAACACCGAAAGAGTAGAGTGATACAAACGTTGTGTTTATAAGGCTGCGAAGGTATTATTTTTCCAGTTTTCAGTCTACAGATACATTACAACTATAACATGTTAATCGCATACAACTTGGTCACTGAATTGTACTCAGAATGAAGGTGATAGGCCGTGTTTAATAAAATAAACATCCTCCGACGACTGGTGATATAATCTTTTCTTTATTCATACTAGAAAAAGACCCCTGAATAACGCTGAAAATGAAGCATTGATTGATTTCGAAAATAAAATAACATGCACAGCTGTAAACTGTGCATACTGACTATCTAGTAACCACTCATCAAATACTTTAAATTTATGGAAATAAAGACTAAAACAAAAAAAAGTATCTTTTTAAATAACGTTTCCGATGAAAGAGATAAATAACAGTGCTAAAAATTAGCATAAAATATGAAAAACAAATTTATGACTCTGTGACTGTGTTAAAGGTAGTTTGATTAAAAGAAGAAAATATAAAACCGGTTGTCTTTTAGGAATTTACTTTTTGAGTGTTTTATGACTACCATGAAATCGTCACATAACTTCATGCGCACACGTGGTCTGGTTCACGCACTCCAAAACCTGACCTTACTGGAAGGAAGCTTGGAAAAGAATGAAGCTGGATGTGTGGTGAGCAACCTCATCCTGTCTAAGATACAACAACACCGTTGGTGAAAATCCACTGCTTAATGCTCGAAACACAAATAATAATCTGAGAATGAACATCAAAGTTTTATTAATATAAGAATAAAACTTGTGCACTGTGGTAGAGTGTAATTCCATTATGGGTAAATTTTGTTTTGATAAAGTCTCACAGTGTTATACAGTAATGTTTACTGTTTACGTCATCAGTAAACATTACTGTATAACACTGTGAGACTTTATCAAAACAAAATTTACCCATAATGGAATCAAAGTTTTACTCTGATAAGAGATTACCATATCAGTCATACTTCTTTTTTTGTAAGCGTAATTATGACTGAGAATGCTTTGTGTTAATGGATACAGTTAACCCATGGTTAAATACTTTCAAGATATCAGCTTGATGTTTTCCACAGTGATCTGTGAGATGAACACAAATTACACTACTTATAATCTGTCTTCATTAGAGACAATAATTTCTAATGTATTGGCTTAAAATACAGTTGACTTGAATTCAAAACTGACTGACATCAGCTAAATAAGCATTAAACTCAAGTAACTTCAGACTGTTTCATTGTATTTCAGACTGGTTGGTGGTGTGCACACAGAACGCCATATGTAAATGAACCAGGAATTATTATACTATTGTAACAACAGAAGGCAAGACACGGAAACCAAGGTATATTTTCAAATGACCAAACAGCTTTATATATATATATATATATATATAACAGTTTTATATTCTCTGACCAATCTATCAGCGTGTGATTTTAGCTTACATTAAACCACACGAAATAGAATGCTCAAATACATATATTATTCTGGTGCTAATGCAGTATGTTGAATTAGAACTGATTCAATCTTATATATAGTTTTTAAAATTAGTAGTGTTCACTCTTACATTCTCTGCGTCGGTGTCATAGCGGTTAGGACGCTCGCCGACCATGCACATGGTCCAGGTTTCGATCCCCGGTCGACGAACTCCTTTACCTCGCTAAGTCAGAAATAATGCTGGTAAAGAGGAAAGGTTGGGCATGAGGCTAGCAACCCATCCTGTCAGATTAAACACTGCTACAGAAACCTCAAGCCGCTAGCTTGAAGCCCTATGTTCCACTGGGGAACGTGAAGGGGAAAAAAACGCAGTACTGAACTGTGAGAGTAATATTCTGAATCTAACATCAAAGAGAATGTTCAAATAGATATATCGTATTATTTTGCTAATGCTATATTGAAGTGTGGAAATATGTGAGAACAATATTCCGTTGGAATAAATTGTCTGTATCTTGTCATTTATTTCCTGAGGCAGTAACCTACTGATATATTTACCTGTGACAAAATATCCTATGAAATTACCCTAAATCTTGTAAACTTAACATGTGAAATTGCGGTTGGGTTATTCGATCTCCTTTGAATTCCCTTAATTTTTGAGTACAATGGCATCAGACTTATCACATTTTAAGCTTTATTCCAAAATGTAAAAATAAAATTAAAAAATTGAAATTTATGACCATAGTGTAAACACAATTGGTTTATTGGTTGGAAATAGAATTTAGCTTGAGTTGACACATCTTACATTTCCTTTTTGGAGGGAAAACAGTTTTGAAGGCTGATAGAAAAATAAAACTGATTAAATGTATAAGACCAGAGTGCCTTACGGTAGAAAACACAAAAGATAAAATAACAATGGATTTATGGTATCTTAACTGAAATTTAGTCAGGCAGTGAATATAGCTGAACCTTTTTTTACGGGACTAGACTGCGCTACCAATGAATTTGGTTCATCTGCTAATTTCAGATGTGAAACCTATGCAGCTTACAAAATTGAGCCGAACATATTTTGTTCATTCGATTATTCTACTGCGTATGGTCTAGGCTGCAAACGTAATCATCGGTTATAAACTCAAAGCTATTTGCAATTCTCTGTTTTCAATGTCTATCTTTCGCAGCTATAAAATATGCTCCCACTTTTCTGTTTTTTGTTCATTCGTCATGTTTCGAGTGAAACATACGGCTTCCAGATTTGAGATGTTATATGCAGTGGTGCTGCTTTTGCGGTGGGGGGTTGTTAATCTTTCTCCCAAACTTTCTTGCCAGGCTAGTAACCTATGCAGGCTCTGGTAGTGCTTGGGCCAACAGTCAAACCTTAGGTAGTTTGCAGGCATTTTACCATCAAACCATTCATGGACTAAGCATACAAGAGCTGCCTCGTCCTAATTCAGGACTTTTCAGCATAACACATCCGTGACCCAAAGGGGAATAAAGCGCAGAACCTTCAGGTTACGAGGCCATTCAGCTACTGGAGTAGTTTATCGAAAATAGATGAATTACATTCCATCAGTTGAATTAATATCAGTTAAAAGTTTGAGCATTGTGGATTAGATCAAATAAAGTATAATTATATTATATATTATATATATTATATTGTGTGTAAACTATTGAAATATAATTATACTTTATTACATTCCATCAATTATAAAACAATCTACATATGGTGTTCAATCATGAATCCAGTTGAAATCAACTCTTAAATTTTTTAAACCATAAACATGTTCCATTTTCAATGTAGAATTACTACTTATAAAATGTAAGCAATACTAATCTTTATATAATAAATTTTTTTCTTAAATTTAAGTGTTTACGTGATTTACACATAAACTGAAAATTTTTCAACGCGCGGAATAGTTAGTTTATTTACTTAGCGTATGTGCTTGTGTGTGTAAAAAAATCTAATCTCAACCTGCTTAGCCCTAAAAAGTGCATACATTTCTACGAAAATCAATGAAATGACTTATAGCCCTAACCAATAGTTAATGTCTATTCCTATAAACTTAATGTAATGAAAAAATAATAAAAATAAAGTGAAGAATAAATGTTTTTTAAGAATATCAAAAGTTAATGAAAAAGACTTTTTAGTTGAGTTGAACATCGTAATTGATAATTTTCAATAGAGATAAGTAACCATGGACCTGGAAAGTTCCATATCCATATTTCAAAGCTACAAATCTTTCTCAGTTAATGTCAGTGATCAGAAACAGCTAAATTATTCAGGAAAAGGCTAACTGGGAATGAAGTTGTTAGGAAATTAAACAGACTTGATTCCATACTATTTGAACACTATACAAAAATCTAACCAAATTCCTTATTCATAGATTTACAATATATTTCTGGTTCGCACAGGTGATAAGTCTCAGATAAGACAAAACGTTCATCCTAAATCCTCCAACGAAGTGAGCACGGGAGTAAGGCAAGGCTGCCTTCTATAGCCAATAATTTTCTTGATTGCAGTAGATTGGATAATGCGACAGACAACAGGCAATGAAGAGACAGACATAAAATGAAGGAGGATCTGGACTTCGCCCTTGATGATATATGTCTAATTTCCCACAAACTGGAAGATATACAAGTGAAAAGTAACAAGTTGGCAGAAGAAGCATCCGGAGAAGACAGGCCTTCAGGTGAACATAGATAAAACAGAGGTGATGAAGATTCCTGGACAACAGCAACAGCAACAACAGCAACAGACAACAATCAGCATAAATGGGAGAAATCTGAAAGATGCAACCTCCTTTACCTACCCACCTACCTGAGAAGCATCGTTTCAACTACAGACGGACGGAACTGACGAGGATATCAAAGCCAGAATCGGAAAAGCAAGACAAGCTTTCGTTACTCTCAAGTCTGTGTGGAGGTCAACAGCACTGCTCAGCATCAAAAATAACATCCGGATTTTCAACTCCAATGTAAAGTCAGTCAGTGCTACTATATGGATCAGAGACTTGCACTGCGCGTCATAAAGAGCACCTAAAACAGACTACAGACCTTCACTAACAGTTGTCTTCGCTCAATACTCAAGATCAGATGGCCAGCCAGAAAAGATCAGCAACATAGATCTCTGGCAATGAGTGAACCAACCCAGCATGAACCGGTTGTGCAAGAAATAAGCAGGAAGAACTGGAGGTTGATTGTCCATACTCTGAGAAAGCTAACCATCAACTGACATCACTGGACAAGCCCTCCAGTGGAACCCGAAAGGGAAGCGGGCGGTGAGTTGGTCGTCAGTGTGAGGGTGATTTGGAGGAGGTCATGTGAAGAGGAGATGAAAGCGGGTGGGCAGACTTGGAGTGGGGTGAAAAAGTTGACAGAAAACAGAAGGCAATGGAGATGCGCAGCTGAAGCCCTATGTTCCTCTAGGAGTTAAAGGAAATAATAATAAATGCTCCAGCAAGATATCATTAAGAAAGTGAAAACCAGGTTTAATTAGTATTCGAATTATGAAATAAATCGCTTGACAAATAGAACTGAAGCGTTGAACCAAAAATGGCAATATCTAGTCTCCTCAGCCTTTTTAACAATAGGGAATTACATTTTACATTATTTGACAAAATTTTGTGAGCAAATTAGATTTCAAAAATGAATTTCTCCTATTTTCATTTAGCATAAAATTAGCAATAGTCCAAAACGTTTAACACTCTTTTAAGTACAAATTTAAGCAAATGTCTGAAAGAAAAAAAGTTACATAGTTTTGATAACTCTGTGTACTTTAATAGTTTGCATTATTATTATTATTATTATTATTATTATTATTATTACTGTTAAAAGTTAGTAAAAGAATTTTTACATAACGAAGAATACCACCTAACATCTATAAATAACCCTGAAATAATAAAGATCTTTTATATTACTCTGCATTTCATTGAAGATAACCTAACACTGTTTTAGAAAGTGTCCTCCATTTTATCAGTTACACAAAAAATGCCGTCACTGGTTAAATGTACAGAAGCTTTTCTAAGTGCAAATTTAACGAAACACTAACAGTTACTTGATTTAAGCATTACAAAGGAATGAAATTAAGACCATCAGAAGATTGTAGGAAGCTGACGGAGAATAAACAGGAGTACAGTTATGTGTGATTATAAAAAAATATATGACGCAGTAGTTTCTATCTGAGAGTAAATAATAATAACCTATACCAGTTTAGTTCTCCAGACACCTGGTCCTGATTTGTTTCTTTGGCCACAACGTGATTAAAACAGGTGGTTAGAAACTTTATGTATAAGCCTGACTTTCTTCATTCTGAGCCTATTCTGTTTAAAATAGCCTGGTGATGGAGACAGTGGCTTGAAGGATGTGAAATACGTCCTAAATAACTTGGCTAAGGTGGACTTATAGGCTTATCAAATGTTTTGCTTTTTTCAACTAACTTATGTAATATACAATTGGTGGATGGTGGCTAGCAGTGGAATCCAGGATGCGCATTTCGTCCTATTTGGGACTGGTCAGCTGGATGTACCTGCATTTCTCACTGAGTGAGTGATGCTCCCACCGAGGCTCGAACCCAGTACCCATAGTTTCAAACGCTAAAGCGTTATCCACTAGACCACTTGGGCCACCAATTGTATACTAATTAAATACTCAGACTTCGTCGAAGCATCTGCACAAGAAGCCAACATGTCAACCTGAGACCGAGCACTTCGATCCAATCAATCGACGGGAAAATCAAAAAATTCAATTCAATAACTTCTGTAATACTTGAAATAAAACAGTAATTTCATCGTAGAATGTGATGAAAATAATCAAGTCAACTTCTCTGATATCAGTAGGCTGCACAAAACTGAAGGATACACTCATCGTCAAGATGCGTACAATGGGTTATTTCTAGATTGGATGAAACGACTTTTGGTTAGGATGCTATGCATTAGCAGTATAATCGGTATGTTCAGCTGATAATCTAAAAGTCAAACTAATATTCCCTGAGTACTTTCTGAAAGAAAAAAACCTACTTGCAAAGCTACATCAACAGTTATGGTAATAATGAATGCACAAAGCGTGAAAAGCCTACTCTCAGCCAAAAAATTACTTTTTATCCACCTCAAATTCAATTATGATGTTATTGTGATAATGTTGAACAAAAGGTTGAGCATACTGTCACCCAGGATGTTTCATGTAATTGCTTTGTTTCACATATTTTGCTCACTGGTACAATCAGAACTCGACGGGCATCCCTAACATGTTATTACTAATTGTGTATATTGTTTCACATGTACCCACGGTAGACGTTTTATCTGAAGAATCAAAAGAACATCTGCTAAATAGCTTTAGTTACAGGTCAATCGAAGGAAATCGCTGAAATCAAGAAACTAAGATTTTCGTAGAATGTAGTGAGAAATACTGAAGCTTGGCGAAATGTATAGTGCCCTAGAGGGGACAAAGAAACTAATTGCTCTCAGAAAGTTTGTTTGTATCTGGTATTTCGCTAATCCATCTCAGAGTGTTTCTCTAGCAACTCTAAAAGGACTAGATCCTAGCGGCATTTTACGATTCAGGGTCTGGTTCTGTATCAGTCTGAGTGTTCTTATTCACCTATGAATAGACTTAGACTTATGAATTAGACTTAGAACCAAAAACACTTCCTCTTGATGATAAGGTTTTATGATGTTTTTTGTTATATACAGGATGCGTCATAATTGAATGTGAGCTAGCAGGCTGATATGAGACAGGATGTCAACTATCATGTGACATCGTACTTTTTGTTTGCCAGTTTACAATTTATCTTATGCAAAGTAAGAAAACTAAGCGACTTAGAAACAGAAACACATTTCCAAATAAGAAACTGTTAACCCAACCAGATTGTAAATGCGGACCTATAATTTGTCAGCATAGATGACTACCTTCCAATCTATGGATTATGAGTTTGAAAACTGCTGCATTTACCAATGTTTAGACAACCATTTACTACCATGAATAGTTACACAAATGCTGTGGCATACTACCGAATGCATGAAAGTACACGTTGTTCCTAAAAGTTATACCAGGTTAGTAACATCCTCGTTATAATTGTATTCATGATCACAGAAGCCACTGAACTGGTTGAGGGAAAAGCATTGTGCTTGAGCAAATCTCTGCTGAATAAAAAGTAAACTAGAAAACAAATAGAAGGAATTCGAATCACTTACATGACATGTTGTTTTAACCAATTTATCAATTATTTGATCAGCAAGTGTATACAGTAGTTTTCTTAGTTCATCAATTTCAACCAGTGTTTCAGGAGCTTGTAGTTCACCGAATAAATGACTTAATGATGATTCCGATTTATTATTATCCTGTTGACGATGCTCTGAATTTGAAGTTGTTGTCGTTGCCGATGAGATTGAAACTGTGGTAGGATCTTTGCCGTCAACAACGATTGATGGTGATTTAATGTCATGTGTTAACCATCCAGATGTAATATAGGTGGCCAAATCGTAGAAAAATAAACTGAGCCAAAATTGAAAAACCACTCTGTTGGATTCAGTCTGTAGAGGCAGTAATAGAATAAAAGGAAGCAAATAAGTGAATCAATAAAACGAAATATTGTAACTATTAAAATAATTTAAAGATTATTATTCAGAACAATCTTGAAAATGAAGAAAATATCCCAAGTCTCATACAATAGGTTTATTATGTATAACACTGGAGTATTTCTTAATTATCTCTCCGTGAAATTAAATTCATTTTGAGGTGCTTTCTTGCATTTATAAGTTCTTGAATCGCCAGGCGGTTATCTTTTTTTAAATGTAAGTTTACATTGTCTACTAGACATCAATTTCAAGATATGGATAGTTTGTCAACAAAACGTCACCCGATTCGAACTTCTACAACAGAAATGTAGCCTTCAACACAGATTCTAAAGAGATAAAAATCAGTTTCTTAGACGACTCTCTACAAGGTAAAGCAAGCTGTAGACTATCCCACTAATTACCTTACACAGTATGATTCATGTAGTACACACTGATTAACACGCGTAGTTGGACACCAATCAAATCAATCAATGGTACCTGCTAGACAAATAGAGGTATTCTAAACATGGGACGTTCGTTTCGATCGTTTGATGTTGAGCTAGTCATTCAATATGTAAATTTAGAATTTGACACTTTATAAAGCAGAATGACATCGAGTCCATAGATCTGTTAAAGTGTTATAAGCGATGATCTTTCTCACTGTGAGCCGGAGAGTGAAATGATGGGCACACTTTAAACCGACAAGTCGAGTCGAAAATATGGGAATTCAGTAGATTATTTATATCTCATGTGTCACATACTAACTGCTTTCCCGGAGGAAATTAACAAGCTAGTAGAATATTCAGCGAAGATGGGACTTCGGATGAGCGTGGAGAAGAGAGAAGTGATGAATACAGAAGACAACCAGCAACAAACATCAACCACCATGAACAGGACATATCTAAAATAAGTCCTTTCCTTAACACACCTGGGAAACGACTACGGAGAACATACACGGAGATGTTAAAGACAGACACGATCGTATAAGAGGAGACAGAGAAGTATTTAATATTCTAAAATCAGCGTGGATATTGACAGTACCCAGCACAACGATCAACATCTGAGATTTTAACACTTAAGTGAATTCAGTATTTGCATGTGGTTAGAAGACTTGATGCGCGCATCAACGAAGGTATTTCTGCTGGGCTACTGAAGACCTCCATTAACAGTTCTCTTTGCTATCTTTATGCTGAAAATCAGATATACAGCAAGCTAGAGACGATAAGCAGGAAGGAAGTTTGGCAATGTGGCTAATTCCATATTAGATAAGTTTATTCAAGTATCGGTTTTTGAGGATTTGATTGATTGGTTACACGATTTCATCATGAGCTCATTTCTGTTACAGAACCACTGGAAAACCTCGGAGTACTGGAAAATCGTTTCGTCCTAGTTTGGGACTCTTAAGCAGTACGCACCCACCTAGGTTCGAGCCCAGGTCCTTCTGGTTACAAGGCGAGCTCGTAGATCATCCAGCCATTTGGACCCAATTCAGTGGCTCATGAATTCTAACTTCTACCAACTAGTGATTTTAGCACGACCAACAACCATTATCATCTGCGGGAAATCCAACCCAACATCTAACTGGATGGATGTCACTGGTCGCGACTTCTCACTATAACTCCGGGAAACTCCGTCTTGTAGCTAGGCACTGGTGTACTGCCAATGATTCCCAAACTAACAGCTGTCCAGTACTTTCTGGTTTTCAATAGTTCTCTAACTGATATCACTCCGTGGTCAGACTCGAAAAACAATGATTTATTACCGAGAAATTTTCAGAAGCAAATGATAATAAACTGAACACATGCTGAGGAAACCATTGAGTGGCGTTATACACCAGGTGCTCTACTGAAAGCTGAAATGGAACTTTGTGTGAGCTTATAGGGACAGATGAAGGCGGAATTTCGGAACCAACTGTGCTTTTGTGACTCAGTTTTTCACTCAAAATAAAAGAAATGGATAATAATGTAATGTTACATTTAGCCAGGTATTTAAGTAGTTACTGTATTGCCTCTTGCAAAACAAATAATTTTGTTCACACAGGTACACATATTAATATATAAATATACATTTATATATCCAGTCAGTAGCATAAAAAAGGCAGATTATGTTACACAACCAGTCTAGGAAAGTCTCGGAAAATTGTTACTTAAATTGTCCACAGTACTTTCAGGCACACAACAAATACACACTAAAAAAATGACCTAGTTAATGATGAGATGTGGTAGCCTAGTAAATAGAGCGCCTAACCAGTATCTACAGTTAGCTGTTTCGATCCCTTGAGTGACTTATATTTTTATAAACTTATGAGAGCTGTCAAGGTCTGACAATTTGAATTGTTGTAGGTTCTCTTCAGAAGATGGTATCAGGTCATATGTTTGATTTATCAGGTTTCTAAACTGAACCTATCCTTAAGTCCAAAATTTTGAGTGAAACCATCCAACATTCAGAAACTCATATTATTAATTCTCCTTGAGATTTTACCATTCTAAAGTTTCTTTATTTTTTCAATTATCTACTGAACAAGAACACCTTCTAGGAACATGTTGATGAATAGTCAGTGAAATTAATTTACTGTTGACTGCTCAAGCAAACAATAGAGGTATTTAATTTTCAAAATGGCCTGTCCAAAGTGTTTTAGCTCAGTATATTGATCAACACTAAATCCAGAAGAACACAGTAACAGGGAATATGAGCAACTCCAGGCTCATCCTAACTGTATGAAAATCGACTCCTCGATGGAGAAGTTTAACAGTAGCGTCCCAAGCGTATTGATTAAAATCAATATATTGAGTGAGTAACACGACACTGCTGTGCACTATTGTGTACATTAACTTCATATCGATTGACTTCTACCAGCGTTGAACACCACGATAAAAGTTTATCAGAGTGCACAGTAGTATCAGGTTACTTGACCAACACATAGTACTAGATGCTTACACTGATAACTATTAAGCAACCAATTTTTAATTAAACGTAAATGTTAATCTGTTTCATCATTTGGTGGTGAAGTAATACAAATTATGTATTTGCATAAACTATATCTCACTAATTTATCACCAACGGTAAGACAAAATACCTGTCATATCAATTTCAAATATAACCTAGCTGTTCAACAGAATTGCATTAAGGTAGATTTACTCAAACGTCGAAACCAAATGGGGAAACATTAAAAACCAGGGAACAAGGAACAACAGTTTCATCTTAGATTGCGATCATTCAGCAGTGTACACACCCAAAAACCTACTAGAGATCGAAACCCCGGGGTGAGTACACAAGACGAGTGTACTCACCATTCAACCAACTATAAAGTTTACCGAGTGAATGCATACTGTCTTATTGACATTGGTTAGGAAACCAAAAATAAAACTTAAGGTGACATTTATTCCCTGTCTAAAACATATCTAACAGAGTTGTTTTATGGTTTGTTTACCTATAATAACAAATGATTACTTATTTCTAAAGTCTAAAGTTTATAATTAGCCAGTCTGTAAACAAAGTTATATAAACTACTAATAAATGAATTTAAAATATTCATGCCTTAAGTTAGTAGCACTATATTAGCCTACATATCTTGACGTAGGTTATTCAGACGCAAATTAACTAATCTATAGTTAACTTGCTTAAAGACAAATTTCATTGCATAAAATATCATGTTTCAGCTCAAGTATTAACAAAATATTAATGACCGCGTGTAGAGGTAGGATGTGAAGACAGGCTTTTACTCCAATGTAAGATGAAAAGAAAAAAACTTAACAAGCTATGGAATATTGTTTAGGCTACAAATGGTATTCCTCAACATTTGATGGTGTAATAAAGTAATGCGATAAATATTACTTAAAAGTCAATTCTGAATGGTTTATTAGTGAATAAAATATCAGAGAGTATATGATAGAGCTTAGTTTCAAAACTCCTACTGTTTCTTTAGTAAAACGCAGATGAACAAGCTATGGATGAAAGCCTTTTTGCTTGAGTTAGGAGTTAACTAATCTTATAAACAAGTGATATCCTAATACCAAGTACACTTTATGCTGGAGTAGTTCACCATAGGAGCAATTTCAGTCACCTGAATATACATACAACTCAAAGAAAACTGCTACGCAAGGAGAACGAGGCGCACTACCTTATCTTGATTTCTTATTAGTTCATAAAAGTTTATATTCACAGGTTTCTGTTTCTAATACAGTTGATTACTTCTGTATTTGCTCGTAACCAGGTGTATTTTATGCCAAATTAGTGGTCAGAGCTTCGTGATCCCATTAATACAATTATGCGAAATTATCTGATATTCTATTGTGTACACGTTAATTTAAAGTCACATTTACATTTCCTTTGGAACATAATACAGTTTTCATTTGAGCTTTTAAGTAACAGATATTAAGATTTATTCAAAAAACTCCAGTCCATAAAAGACTACTATTAGAATAATTATCCCAAAACAAATAATTCTTGAAATTTCTTTTGTAAATAAAAAACTTCTAGAAAGACTGATAGTTCACAGCTAAAGGTGTGAAAATAAACAAACTCGAAACTTCAAATAAAGATGACACTTGTTCAGTCTTATACCATGACAAGGTGAAAAAAGAGAGAGACGGTAGTAATACGCGAAAGAGAACTTCAAAATCTACTAACGTTAACTCGTCATTCATTCTGTCAATTTTTAACTTGTTTTGTTATAAAGAGAACTAAAGCTGAAATGAATAATAAGAAAAATTACTAATAACAGTTGACATAAATACCTATATATATATATATATATATATATATATATATATATATGCTGTACGTTTGAGAAGTATTACTTGACTTTGCCATGAGAGTATTCCATATTCTTTTCATTCTTAGATAAAGCATAATGTAAAAAACGTGTACACATCCATACAAATATGTAGTCATGTTGCTTTGTGCATATGAGTGTATAGAGGTGTATGTTTGTGTGTGTGTGTGTGTGTGGTATAACATCTTTTAATCCGCATGGA